GGACATGCAGAGAGGACCGGCCACACTAGAGGAAGCCCATGAACTGTGGACTGGTGGCGGTGGAGCCCCCATAGGACTGGACCAGGCCCTCTGGATATGGAAGACAGTTGTTTGGCTTGAACTGTTTGGGGGGCACCCAGGCAGGGGGATCAGGATCTGTCCCTGGTCTATGGGCAGGCTTCTGGAACCTGGTGCCTGTGGTGTGACACCTTGCACAGCCTTGGTGCAGTGGGAAGAGGCTTGGACCTGCCTAGGCTCAGTGAGCTGGGCTCTGCTGACTCCCCATGGGAGACCTTGATTTGGGGGATGTGGAGATGTGGGGTGGCTTGGGAGAGAGGGCTGGGGGTGGGAGGAGGGAAGAGGCGGGATCTGTGGGTGGTATGTGGAGTGAATAGAAAATTTCTTAAAGAAAAATGAAAAACAAAAGATTTTAAACAGCAGTGAAAACAGAAAAAAAGGAAAGGAAGGTTTTAACTTTAACATAGTAAAATTATATACAACAAATATAGGTATCAAGCAAGAATTACAATTACAATATCCAATCTATTTGTATTCGCAAATTTAGAAAAAATATTCTATTATTTATCTTATATTTGTGAGCTCAAAGAAAAACTAACAAACAAAAACTGAAAACCCTTCATAAGCACAGGAACTACTTAATGTTTTCCTTAGTTATGATAAAAAGTAAATGTGATTTTAAAAAAACTTAAAATAGGAAATGTACAGAGAGTCTGATCTTATATGTTATTGTGTTGTCTTTAGATTTTCTGATTGCTGATGAAGGAACCACAGCTACTAAGACACACAAGATAATGAAAACTGCTGGATTAATACACTTCAAAAATTCTTGACTTCAAAATGGGAGTCCAAAGATGTATTACTTTGGGGAAGAGGTTATGCTTTTATTTCCACAGGAAATGATAGCCTGTGATTCATTCCAGGCTGATATGGATCAGGTTTGATCAGGTAAGACCCCATGAAAATCCTGGTTACAGGCATATAGAAATAAACCTAAAAAAGCTACAAGACGTGTAACATATATTTTACCTACTCAAACATAAAACAAAAATCATCTTTGGCTAACTTGTGTGTAACACACAGTCTATACTTGTGTTAATGCAGATATGTATGTTACCTTTAAAAGTTATGTGTTTTCAGAGCAAGAAGACCAGACACCAAGAAAAACAGATAGCCCAAACGATCCAACATCTCAGAGCGCCTCTTCTGTGCCCCTCTGCCTCTGTGCCCCTCTGTCTCTGTGGCTCTCTGTGTCCCTCTGTCTCTGTGCTCCTCTGTCTCTGTGCCCCTCTGTCTCTGTGCCCCTCTGTCTCTGTGCCCCTCTGTCTCTGTG